TGCACCCACAGCTGCTGCTTAGTCATACGAGGAGGCGAAATGGCCGAGTGGTTGACTCATCAGTCTCCCACGTGGGGGCTTGGGTTCGAATCCCGGTTGCGTCATGGCCCTTAAGCGCTAATTTGAACAATGCAGACGCTGGCGCTGCGTGAAAGGGCGTGGCACGTGCGTTGTGTTCGCTATGAAAAAATTAATTCGTGCGACCAGTGCATTCGAGCCTTTATCGCTGTAGAAATTATGTACGTCTTGTATGTGCTGACAAAACAGATGCATCGCTTAGTATAGTTGACGGGCCACGGACGTCGCGTGGCCCTCATGGACAACGCCATTCGGATCATTTTTGACTCAAGGACTTTCTTCATGTTTGAAAAGAGCCTTCTGCAGTGTCTGCATGCGGTCTGCCAGATATAGACTTGCACTTTGCGAGATGCTTAAATGCCAAAAATACATGTCATGTTTCGTGCTACTGCAGTGACGGCACTGTCTCCGCGATACGTACGACCCACGACACAAATCGCTGCGATAGATGCTGCGATTATGCAACAGAACCTTCATTACGCCGCCGCCTTGTGCGGTATCTAACACTGGGAGATAAGGAAAGCAGGCAGAACTCTGACACTTGTCTTTTGGGCTTAGCGAGACGTTTTTACTCGGGGGCGTTGGAACATGCTAGAACAAACAACGACATGGCAAAACGAACAGGGCGGTGTTCGCGTTGCCGAACATCCGGCTTGTTTACTAACAGCACCATAGAACTGAGCCCAGTTGTTTCGAAAGCAGGGCCCGACACCACACCTCCAAATCGGGTTGATATGGCCGCGGTCGCAGTCGTAACTCACTCGACCTTGTATTTATCAGTGGACGAACGGCCAACGGCCATATCTCGCCGCTGTTCATATTTACGACGAGGATGTCTCCAAGCAAATCTGATTCGGCATTGGAGAGCCCCCACCTCATCATGTTGTCATATTGGCTCCAGTTCGGACTCGGTAAACCCTGATGCTACTGAGTCAACTCGTAGATGGCACGTTTGGCCCATCACCTCTGTTCGTCTGTTCGTGCTTGGACAAGGTCGAGCCGGACGGTTGGTGCAATCAGCTGCACCAGTTGCAATCAGTTGCACCAGTTGGTGCAATCAGTTGCAATCAGTTGCACCAGACACCACGTGAGCTTTAATGACCTGTTTTCATATCAGGTCTTCGGCATAAGCCCGAACCTTGAGACCTTCATAGTCGTTCCCGTACTTCCCGCTAGTCACGCTTTTGGCTGAACTGAACTGCTGTGATTGTGCATGTTTACTTGCCTCACTGTTTTGTAACCTCAACGTACACAGCGTCTCTGTCCTTCGTTTTTCTGATTTTATTCGATTTTCACACGCCGCTGGTTCTATGACGCGTTCGCGACCGACCTGACTTGACCGGCCCCCTGCCCCTGTCTAACCCCCCCCCCCCGGCACACCTCACCATGCCGTGAGCAAAGGAACCACAAACACTCGCCGCCGTCGCCTCGCGACCCAGTCCTTATCTCGTCTCGACGCCGCCAGTCCGGGCGTCGCTATCGGACGCAGGTCTCCGCCGACAGGAGATAAGGCCGCGGAGGAGATCGGGCGTCCGAGGCAGCGACTCGCCGAGCAAGCCTCGCTCGCGGCGGAGCGTCTTGGGTCCCGCCTCGCGCCGCAAGCAGAAGGCGAGCAGCGAGACGCGGTTCGGACGTGCTGCATATCGCAGACAGTGCCGTCACTGCAGTAGCCCAGCGACCGACCGCCTCGTAGCGGTGGAGCTCGCGTGTCCGTCCACGTCCACTGGGAGGAGAGGCATCACCGCAAGGCTTCCTTCCCGCGTTGCTGGAGTGGTCTCTTCGAGCGTTCCCGCCACCAATATCAGCGCCGGAATCGGAGTATCGTGTTCACCATCGTGTTGCTGCACCGCAGCGAAGGTTCTGTTCTGTTCTGAAGGCTCTGTTCTGCGCTGTCCGTTTCTTCCAGTCCTGCGTTTCATCTCGGCCGATCTTCGCATGCTTCCAGGTCCTGTCTCGGACTAGCTCGTCATCGACACCTTCCTTTCGCCGCTGTCACTTGTCTGCACTTCCTGCCCAGTCGCCTGTGCACCCGCCACGGAGCATCGTCGTCTTTCGGCGGAACGTCTCCATCTGACTGTCTTTGCGTTCACGTCCTGCTCCTCCAGAGGAAACGCACCATCCCATTTGCCGCAACGTGCTTGCACTGCGTGAAACCCACGTGGGCGATTGCTCCTGAAGATCGCTATCAGCATTTGGTTGCCGCAGTCTTCGCTTCAGTCGTCCAGGCCGGAGCGTAGCCAACGCCTCTGAAGATTGCAGCGTCACCCGACGCTGACTCGTCGCCATTGCCAACCGATGACCAATGACGCTCCGGGCGGCGTCCCTACTCCTGCACGCTGCCGGCGCCGATCCTGCAGAAGGCGGTGACGGAGCTGTTCGAGGTGCCGGAGCGGCGGCAGGAAGACGTGCGCCACCTGCGCGAGTGGCTCGCCAAGCAGCCGCACCTGCGCAGCCGGACCGACGATCGCTTCCTCATCATGTTCCTCCGCGGCTGCAAGTTCAGCCTGGAGCGCGCCAAGGAGAAGCTCGAGCTCTACCACGCGCTCAAGACGCACTGCCCCGAGATGATGGGCGGTGGAGACCCGCTGAGCGCCGAGCTGCAGCTTGCGCTGCGGTCGGGTGGCTTCGTGCCCATGCCGAAGCCGCTGCCGAACGGACAGATGCTCGTCATTATTCGCGTGGCCAAGCGCGATCCCGCCAGGTGAGAGGCTGGTGGGGATGTCAGTGGGCGGGACAGAGTTCAATTATATATATATATATATATATATATAATATATATATATATATAGATATATCTAGAGAGAGAGAGATATAATATATAGATATATATATATATATATATATATATCTATATAGATAATATATAGATATAGATATAGATATAGATATAGATAGATATAGATATATAGATATATATAGATATAGATATAGATATAGATATATATATATATATAATATAGATTAGATATATCTATATATATATATATAGATATATATATATATAGATATATATATTATATATATATATTAATATATATATATATACAATCTGTGCAACATAAACAGTTAAAATCGCTGGTGTTCGTTGTGTTTGTGTTCGTAATGATTTTAGAGGCACGGTCGTGCCGTTTTGGATGTAGTTTTTATTTTCAAGGGTTTGGGGGCCCGGTTGTACTGTTTTTGTTGTGATGATGTTTGTGGTGATGCAATTTTTGGAAATCTTGGAAGGTTTTCTGTCGCAGGGAAGGATATACGTAAATGTTCTCTTCGCGCGGGAACATGTCTGGGAAACCGTCTAAGATCGCGTTTGGCGCATCGGTACGCATACAGTCCTGTGTTCTTAGCGTCCACTGATCATTGCCTGAAGCGTCATTTCTCGTCATGGTATCTGTGTTCTGACATTTATTGTTCCCAAAGCGCTCTGAGCACTCTTTTTTTTCATTGCAGCCGCAGTGACTTTATTCATTGTAGTGTATGGGAGTATGGAAAATACGTAGTCCATCTGATATGTTATTCTTGGTGACTGATGGATCCTGCTAAAGGCAGCTGTACAATCGCAACTTTGTGACGTGTGCTTTGTGTAATATGTTTCCTAGTTTTCAAGTGGCGCATATGTTGAGTATTTTCTACTGCTCGTGTGAGGCCAGGTTAACCAACTCAAAGTAGCATTTAATACCTAATTAATTAGTTTTCCTCGCATAACCTGTGCCATCCAATGCTATTGCGCATTCGTATGTGGAATCCTCCGACAGACTGGAGCAGGTTATCATGATACATACTTAAACTTACGTTCGTAGTCCGCTATGTCTTCTCCATCTGAGCAATCCCGCAGGGCTTTCCAGGATGGTTTTCTACGTTAAATTCCGTATTGCCCGTGTTGCAGGATGAGCCAGGAGTCATGTTCCGCGTCTCGAACATGATTTCCTCGCTGCTGGCCGAGCAGGCGAGGGGGGCCGAGGCTGTGCGGTGTGCGGGTTTGTCGGCGTGTGGACCTAAGGACGCTACCCCTCTCCCACGCCGCTGCGATGACGCCGACGCTCGTCAAGAAGGCCGTCACCTGCTGGGACGCCTTCCCATCCGCCAGAAGGGCATGCACTACTACAACAATCCGGCCGGCATGGACCCGGTGCTCAGCCTCTTCAAGTCGTTCATGAAGGAGAAGAAGCTACGGAAGCGGATCTGGGTGCACGGCACCACCAGGCATCGCTGCTGGAGGCGATCCCCCCGGAGTGTCTGCCGGAGGAGTACGGCGGCACGCTGGCCAGCATCGACGTGCTGGCCGCGGACGTCGTGAAGCGGGTCGAGGCCAACAGGGAGTTCTTCGTCGACGCCTTGACGTACCGGGCGTGGACGAGCTCGCCTACGTCAGGGCAAGCAGAAGTCGGCGTGCGGACCTCTTCGGCATCGAGGGGTCGTTCAGGAAGCTGGAGATCGACTAGGGCGGTCCATGATGGTGGCTTGGCGATGATGATGGTGGTGATGCGGTTGTCGACGGTTCTCTCGGGAGGCTGGAGATGGCCTCAGAGGGACCAAACCTATTCAGTGGTGTGGATGGTTGTCGGTGGTCGGTACGTTGAAATTCTTAAAGACTATGATACACATTAAGGCACTTTGGACGTAAGTCTCACCAGAGTGGTTTCTCGTAAGACTGTGTCCATTGGAACGTTTGCCGATAAGACTGATCTTCCAAGGCATGGCCGCTCACTGAGACCTTTCGGCCACCGGAAATTGTTAATCCTTACGCTCCAGTTAATCTTTGGAGTTCTCCGAACATTTGGAATGGCCGGCAAACCCGAAAAAGTCATTTCCTGTGGGTTAATTTTAGCTGCGTATATCAGCTTCCGTCGCCCATAAACATAGACGTCAATTAACCCTCACGCGTCTGGACCAGAGGCCAGAACTCGCCGGAGGTTCGTCTCATTAATGATGAAATGGAGCATATGCTTGCCAGTCATCACCCGTACGTATGGAAACCCGCTGCTGTTGTGGAAGCTGTGCTTTGTTCACGCGCCAGGCAAGGCGGGCGGGGGCCATGTATTCCACGGCGGGCTGTTGTGACCAAGTTTTGGTGGTGGCCTAGTGTAGCGATGCAGTATCGGATCATCAGTATGCATCGTATGATGTGGCATTGCGTAATGCAAGTAATGCTGCGTCGTTAAACAGTTGATATGTGCATTGTGATAATGTAGGGATCCGAATAAGTTGTCCAACTCTATTAATATTAATATTAAGTTGTCCTAAGAAAGCTAGTATGTGTGACTAGATGCTGCTTGTACACACAGCTTCTGAATACTTTTGATCTGAAGGGGAACAAGGCTCACAGCTTAATATATCTTACACTGCAACACTTACTAGACGGACGTATTGACCCATTCAATCACACAACCAGTTTGGTTAGCCTATCTGGGTGGGTAAACAAAGTCACACGTGACTGGTCTGATAGAACAAAGCCCCTACGTTGTCGCTCCTGGCGTTGAAGAGTTACCAAATGCGCAGCTGTGTGCATGTTTTGATAAATGGCTGGGCGATGATTTACGCATTCCAGCCATACTGGGAAATACCGGAAGCGGTGACAATATGTAAAAATACGGCATTTGCTCTGTGCATAGCAACAATTGCCCATTTCATACTGCCCAACAATTGCCCAACAATTGCTAAAAAACATCGGTGCCTATTCAGTTGCGATGCTCCTTCAAATGCAATCAAACTTCCCAATGCTACGGCCGTGGCTTCAGTCCGATGTTGTCCTTATTATGGTGCGCCACTACCACTGCGTATTTTCTAAAGCTGAAGTGGTGAACAAAGCTCTCCTCCCCCCCCCCCCCAACGCCGTTTGAGCTCCCTGGGCGTTTGGTTTGCCGTTCGGGCCCCGTGCGCTGGCCGAGATAGTCTCGATTGGCGTGCAAGTGACCACTTGTTTCGGTACGAACTCAATGACCCAGGACCGCCCTGTCCCTGAGGTCAAGCGACCTCCGCCTCGGATGCTGTACTTTGGACCTGCTGGCGCGCAGGAAATTCTGCAAGTGTCCTCGCGGGCCTGTCCACTTGCGGTGCTGGCAATATAGATTTCAACTTGCTTCTTGTTTCTTGTTTCTTAAAATTCTCATCGTTTTTGTTACTTGATGATTTAAAAAGCGAGACACCACTTCACCATGAGCACTTGGTGGGCTACGGATAACGGCACAGAATTGCCGTCTTGAACACTGCGCAGTCGACGGGATGTGCAAACATAGCATCGGTGTTGTTTTTTGTCGGCAGTATCTCTCTAGATTTGGTATCAACGATCCGACACCCAGGCGCAGAGAAATCAGCATGCACGGGGAGGGGGTCCCCCGTCACCAAGCAAGCAGACGAGCAACGCGTAACCTCGCTCAGTCGCTCGTTCATTGTGGTGGCTTCGAATCGCGAATACATCATGCGATATTTGCAATAGCTGCATTACGGCACTGTACGTAAAGTTGAAAACCCCACTTCTCGCAGGTATATTATTGCTGTCGTTTTCGCCGCCTCGAATGCGGCAATCGTCAGGGGGTGTCGGAGATGCTGCGACGATTTGCTTACTTGTGTTTCACAAGGTGCGTTTTGGTTTTGACGGAACGGAAAACATTTCAATTATGATCTGCATTCAAAATGCTGTGGCACTGGCGGCAAATACGTCACGGGGGGAGGGGAGGGGGGGGACGGGGGGCGATGCTTCATGTTGTCATAAGTCCCACATGCCACGGCGAAGTGCAAGGGCGAAACTAGGACAGCGGTCTTGTTGATGACGGATTACGAGTGCTGCAACCAGCGCCCCGAGGACTACGCTTAAAGAGGGAAAGCCAGGCTCCTTTGATGCATGGGGTGTAGTTAACCTCTGCCGCTGCTCTCTCGAACTCCCGACGACACAGCCATACTTATGCGTACTCTACGACGCGGGGTTGTTTCTTCTTCTTCCCCACCTGATAATGTATGACAGCTGGGTAGTGGGACTGCTACACATGTAGTGCAAAAGGGTGCAGCGTCTCGGTTCCAGCACTACAGAAGCTCATGCGTTCCCGTGCTTTCATACGCTGATTAGGCGCCAGCAAAGCGAGGGTCTACTTGTGGGCGGTTATTGTTAGTAGACGTACTGTTCGCTAGCCGCCTGGCTTCGCGCGATAAGCACAGTTCGGTGCCAACGGCGACGACTGTCTTACGTAAGTGCGTCGGCGCAGCCCTCTTTTGACTGATACGTGCCAAGGATCGCGCCCAAGTGAATAGATACCGTTGCTGAGGCGAATGAGGCAGCACGGACGGGCTACCGCATCATACACGCATGCGCATTCAGGACTCGCCCGGCGCCGAAGGTGTGTCACCGGAGGCGCAGCTAATTGGAGTGTGTGTGTGTGGGGGGGGGGGGGGGGATCTGCTCAGCCCTCCGCGCCCTTCCACCGCCCCGCTTTTTTCATCTTGGTTCACATTTTTTTATTATAGCAGCAGAGATGGCTCATGATGACAAAGTTAATCATCATCTTGACGAGCTCTCACTGGATTCCGCCCCTCCCCTTCAGAAAACTTTCGCCCCTCCCCTTCCACCCGTCCCCCTTTGAGTGCGCCTCCGTGCACCACCGCATGTTGTAGACATATCGATGAAAGGAGCGTGCGCGGGTGCTTGCTTCGGATGGCCGCCATCTTTACCAATCCCGTTGCCATTGGCATGGCGCGGATCTTAGAGAAGTAGCGAGCCCATGTCAAGGGGCTATTACGGCGCTTCCGCGCCAAGGAAATGAGGCGTAGTAGTGACGTCACCGTGCCCTAGGTGCAGAGCAGGATATATAAACAAACTTTGACACGCAATGAACGTTTAGTGCCAGTGAATGATGGGCTATAAATGCGACTTGCTGGTGATTAACGGTCTTAGGATTTTTGTAAATAGGCCAGGTACGCATGCGTCGGATATAAGATATATTTACTTTTGTGCGCATTAGCGCATATTTTTAGAGTTTAATCTTATACTAGGAATGATTTAAGCTGTATGAAGGGGTTTCCTCTCAGCATAACATGTTTTTACGCTGAATAGATTCACGCGTTCTCTGTTGAAAGTTTGAATGCTTATGGGTGGTTTTCGCTGTTGAACGTCAATGCTGCACTGAGGACGTCTGATTCAGTCAGACAGCAGGGATGCGCGCTCGTTACACAGGGATGCGCACATGTTACACAAACGCATCAGTGCAATATCGAGGTTTCGGGCGGAGAGGCTCGGTTGGGCCATCCACTGTTGCGGTTAGCGCATAAACAAGACGAAGATTTTTGTGAAGTAGTGGATGAGCAAGCCGCGCTCGTCCCAGCACAGATGGGCGTGGGTAAGAGCCGGACTGAAAACTCGCGACGCCCAGAAGGTGGAATTGAACCACTGCGACGCTAGTCGCCTACAGGTTTGAAGCCTGCACACCGGACCACCGATGGTCATCTGGGCGAGGGCCCCGGGTGGTTATGGATGTATTTATAGAACTGAAGGTTCATCGGTCGTTCGTCCTAGTTATGTGTGTTTAAACCAAATTCTGGGCCGTTGTGCATGGCTCACCACCTGATTGTTCTATCCGTCACTAGCATATGAGTTTGCCCACGGATTACCGTTCACAAAATATACCGTACGTCATTTTCCGACTCAGAATCGGCCTTGCAAGCATGTCATGAACACCTAGCGGCGAGATTTGGAACTAGGCCGGCCCCGTCAGCCGCCGTGGCGCCTGCCCCGCAGCAGCGCGTCCAAGGATTTGTCATGGTGTACTGGACAGTGAGACGAGACGAATCGAATTTGGGGGTGAGCTCTAGGCGGATGAATCCCACCGTTTTTGTGAGTGAAGCCATGCTATGGCGGAAATCGATACCTGTCTCTTTCTTCCCCCCGCCACTCAAGCTCTTTGTACGCTCCTGCCCGCATCCGCCGTAGGCTGGTGAGAAGGGCTTCCGGTCTTCCTGATGCGGTCGTCCATCTTCATCAGTGGTTTAGGGGAGTTTTTATGCATGTTCTTGTTCGATGTACAATCGATGGCTAAAGAAGTCGCGCCGCGGTGACTGTGGCATCATCTGCAGCTATGGGAATAGCAATGGAACACCGAGACGTTCACAAGGCGCACACGTTGTGCTGAACCATGCATTTGATCTGAAACAATGGCCAATATGTTTGTCTTCTCCGCCGTCTCGTTTCCGACCCTCGGTATTTCGTTCACCCTAATGTTTCAGGTCATTGCTGGGTAAAAAGCATTGCGGTTAGGCCTTGTTGCGTAGAACGCGCAATCCTGTTACCCATAACGGTTCCCGTATTTGATTGCTGTTAGCAACCACATTTCGATCAACATTTTCAGTTGTAGTGTTGTTCGATGTCGAAGTCCAAGAATGTAATAACATAACATTAACAATAACATTCCTGCAAGTCACTCGCCCAATCTAAGTAGCCTATCGCCCAGCAACAGCT